GAGTGTGATTGGGCTTCTGGTGACAAAAGAATGATGGGGAAGTTGAAGTGAGCTTATGAAGTTTAAAGCCCTAGGCTTTGCATCCGCAAATAAGAGCTTGGTTTTAGTCAAATGGCCCTGAATTTTAGTCCCTAAACTTTCCATTAACTAGCTGTGTGACTATGGGAAAATCATCTAACTTCTCTGCTTCACAGTTTGTATATTGTTAACATGGGGATAATTATTCCTATCACAGTGTCTGTTGACTTAGTTTTGTCAGGAGTAGGAAATCTGAAAGCCTCTATGCATTAGTTTACAATTACTGCTGTAATGAATTGCCTCAAACTTAGTGGCATAAAACAGTATTAATTTACTATCTAACAATTCTGGAGGTCAGAAGTCAGAAGTCTCAAATGGGTCTCACTGGGCTAAAATGAGGATGTTGGCAGGACTGTATTCTTTTGTGGAGGCTTTAGGGGAGAATCCATTTCCTTGTGTTTTCCAGCTTCTATAGGCTGCCCACATTCCTTGGATGGTGACCCCTTCCATCTTCAAAGCCAGCAATGGCTAGAGTCTTTCTCACATTGCATTACTCTGTCACTCTCCCTCTGCTGCCTCCTCCATTCACTTAGAAGGACCCTTTTGATTACATTGGGCACACCCAGGTAATCCAGAATACTTTCCTGATTTCAAGGCCAGCTGATTAGCAACCTTAATTCTTTTTCATAGGTTCTAAAGATGAGGAAGTAAATGTCTTTGGAAGGGGTATTATTCTGTCCACCACATTGTGTACAGGGCATAGTTCAGTGCCACTCTTACCGATGGAAGTCAATAAAGGATGATTATTTTTATTATCATTTCCCAAAAGGAGACTTGTGCAAATCTAGACTACTGTCTGAAGTTTCTGCCTTCTGATTTTAGCTTCTCTGTTCCTTCTGACTGGAACTCATTCCACCATCTTCTACTACCCCTTGCTCATTCGCCAAGGATTTGAGCTAAATGATCCCTTCTTCATAGTATCTTCTTGGATGACCCCAGCTGCAAGAAGGTAGCTCTACAATGATTAAAGGATATCCACATGTGAAATAATAAGGTCATTCTTGGAGATTTGCCAACATTACTTACTGAATGTGTGAACTTGGGAAACTCCCTTCATCTCTGGAGGCTACTTTTCTCATCTTTAAGATGGAAATCATAAGTGCATCAAAGATTTCCTGAAGGGAACAAATGATATCACGTATGTCGTGTATGACATGTAGTTTATGGATTTATGACCTGGCAGAAACTTGACCTCAGACCAAAGAGAATTACTGAAGGGGTTTAAGCATTCCGTTTAATCAGGACAGAGCCTAAATGAGTCAGCCTAATTGAAATTTATTTCTTTCAACATGTGCCTATAAAGCACCTGAAGTTCAAGATGATAACTAATTCCTTGAAGTAGGATTCTGTAGCCTCAAGTGCTTTTAAGAAACAAGAATTCAGAGAGTGCTTTGGAATTGGTTATAAAGGGTTTTAATTTATGAACAAGCGTGACTCCTGTGAGAGATAGCGGGCAAAAAAAAAAAAAAAAAATCTTCTCTGAGGTTAGAGTCCTGGTTGCCCTTTGCTAGCTGAACTACTTTAGATAAGTAGTTAGATAAGCAGATCTCCATCTCTAATTGCCCTTCTTCTTTGGTTAACACTTGAGACAGTGCTTTCTTTCACAGAGGATTTATGAAGGATCAAAGAAGATTGCATACATGGAAGTTCCTAATACAGGTCCTGGCACAGTGATGCTCAATAAATCTTGAGCATAACTATCACTGCCCCAAGCTCAGTGTGATAGAAAAGTGATGCATAATCTTTGGCAATGACTGACCTATTTCATGTTCAGAGAAGCAGCCATTAGAATATTACAGCTGGTGGTGGTGGTGATGGGATTTGTGCCTCTTCCTTTGACAATGAAATTATTGAAATGCGTAGGTCATTTATTAAAGAAACACTAAAAGTGACATCTTGTATTTGTATAAATCAGAGTTTGCCAATTATTGGCCCATGGGGATTTAGCCTGCAAATGTGTTTCATTCTGTCAACAGAATGCTTTATTGTGCGTGCTGTGGTCATGGTTGCTGCTGCTAATTGTTTTTGCTCTTGCTGTTGTCATGTCATTGATTTATGAACCGACATTTAAAATTTTAAAGATGTTTTATTAAAAATCCAAATTTCTGTCTTCCCCTGAAAAATGGAAAGATCTAGCAATACACAGCCAACCTTTCTGCACAGTGATAATTAACTACTGCTTAGTAGCAGCTGTGTCCTATAGACAGGGCAGGAACCTTCCACTCTGCCTCAATCTCTCTCACACAGATGATGGTCTTCATGGTTATTTGTTATTGTGCTTCCTCTGTGGATTTCACGATGGTAGTCAACAGTCTCCATATAATGAGCCGTTGCTCCTAGGGGTAATACAAGGTTAGGATCCTGGGAGCCACTGGTCATGACATTTTCATCAAGTGATCAATATGTAACCTTGTTTTAGGTGTGTTTCTGTTTAAAAGCACTGCATTATATGTATTCAATTCATTAGCGTTGAACTCATGGCCAATAGCGCTGTAATTAATGCTTGAACAAAGCTTATCTAACACTATTTTCTCTGTAGGGCACATCGCAACCTTCTTGCATTTAGGAACATGAATCAGCACTTTAGCTGTACACTTGGGACCATTTTAAATAGCAGGATCACTAACAAAGAACACAAAAATACAACAAATATCGCACTAAATAGACTGCAAAAAGACACTTGTTTGTAGTATGAGAGATGGAAAAAGAAGGCAGAGTGTTGTCTTGTTCGACCTCAGGGGGGAACATGCGCATGAGCTGATTCAAACTTTTTTACCACTGTGTGCATGCCTGTGAATGACCATGAAGGCGCTGTGAGTATTGTATGTGGTTACAAATAAATTTTAGCAAGTAGGGAAGTTCACAAACACGGAATCCATAAATAATGAGGATCAACCGCATGTGATTTGCAAATATATTCTCTCTCCCTGTAGTTTGTCTTTTAATCCTCTTAATAGTGCACTTTTCAGCACAAAAGAACAAAAGGTTTTAACTTTGCTGAAGTCAAATTTATCCTTGTTTTAAATGGATAATGCTTTTGGTGTCAAGTCTAAGACTCTGCTTAGCTCTAGATTTCAAAGCTTTCTTCTATCTCTTTTCCTAAAAATTTTATAGTTTTACATTTTGCATTTAAGTCTATGATCCATTTGGAGTTAATTTTTGTATAAGGTGTGAGATTTGAGTTTTTGTTTTGTTTTGTTTTTGCTTATGGATGTCCAGTTGCTTCAGGACAACAACTGAAAAGGCTATCTTTCCTCCATTCAATTGCTTTTGAACCTTTGTCAAAAATCAGTTGGGCATATTTGTGCCCTTGTTATTGCTTGGGGAGAGTAGAGATCCAGGCTCCCCACAGGGTCTCCACTTAAACCAAGGTAGGTAGGGTTCTCACCATCATCCATTAGTAGTGAACTCGAGACCTTCTCTTGCCAGGTGGGAGAAGGAGCCTCACTATAGCTTGGCAATGGTGGACGTCTAGGGTTTCAATTGGCCTTTGCTGGTGTGGGTAGAAGTGAGGCCACAGTTTTTCTGTGTTGCTTGGCTGGAGTAGAACTGCTTGTCTAAATACTTTCTATCTTGCTAGGTTGCCCTTTTCCTTGTTCTTTTTCTAGAGAAAGCAGGCTTTTTGTTGGGGCTTCTTTTTGTCTGCAACCATTAGCATTTCTGGGTGGTTGGCTTCTCTCTGAGATATATGAGACAGAAAGAAAATGCAGAGAACTCACCATCATGTCTTTCCTTGGACCTTGAGGTCCCTAGACTGTTTGCTTTCTTCTCAATCTTCAAGAATCTTCTTTTGTTTGTTTTATATATATTGTCTAGAGTTTTTAGTTGCACTTAGCGGGAAGAATAGGGAAAAGTGTGTCTACTGCATCTTTCCTGGAAGCAGAAGTCATGAAACGTACCTTTTTTTTTAAATCCTCATTTTACAGATACAAAAACAAGTCCAAATGAATTGTGTGATGTACTCAAAGTCACACAGCTCTCAAATGATGTCACCCAAGTAACATGAATGCAGTTCCAGCGCTCCTCTCAATTCACCATATATACATAAACACGAGGCTGTCAGAAAAATTCTATGAGTATACTCAGAGTGCAACAGCAACAGAGTTAATAGCAGAATAGCCCCCAGCCATGAGCTCAATGAACCATGGGAGACTGGTATGTTCATGGTCTATTTTACTTCTATTTCACTGTTTTATTCATATTCCATTTCACAGTGAGTTTGAAATCAGTGGAAAAGGAGAACAATTATGAGGCCAGAAATGTTCCCAAGTGCTAATAAAGGGTCATTAACTGCAGGGCACAGAAACTCAAAAGATGCTTCTGCACCTGTAGCAAAAGAGGACAGATCAGAGAGTTTACTGACAGCATGGGAACCTGCACAATATTCTGAAATGATGGAACCTGGAAATGGGAATGACATATTCACAATAAAGGCACAGAAATATACTGAGGAAAGTGTTTGGCAATACCTCCAGGATTAGCAACTCAGCTGCTGTCTTTCTAAAGGAAGTGTTTGTGTCGCAACATGATAGCAGCTCAATTTATGTATGGATTTTCCACCACACATTAAAGCTCCTATTTTCCTGCAGAGTGGACTTTTCTGACCAAAGAATAATCACACTGCTTAATGTACCTGTGTCATGTTACCTTTCTATTCCTTTTTCCCTTTCCCATCACCACAAACCTTGTATGTGTCTCGTATGATCTCACATGAACTGAACTTTTTGTCTCCAACTTGGCCCCATCCCATCTCTCCCCTACTGTGCTGACAGAATGGATCTCTCTTTGATGACAGATGATCATGCATGCCTAGAAACTTCCGTGGTTCCCTATGACCTTTAGGATTAAGTCTAGGTATTTTTAGAATAAGAAAACAATAAGCTGTCCGATCTTCAGCAGCCTGTCCTCTGCTCTTTTCTTAGGTATTACCAGATCCGAGTGACCTTGAAGGTGTCCTCAAGGATCCCCCACAGATTGAGCGCTTCCATCGTTGGGCAGACAGGTGAGCAGGAGGATGGCAGTGGGGGGCTTGTTCCCCACCAGTAAACCTTCATTTGTAACTGTATGTCAGGGCATAGCAGAGTGCAAGGTACATAGAGGGACTCAGTAAATCATTGTTGAATGTTGGCAGAGTGAATTTTGGAAATGGAGACCCACTGTTGGAGTGGCCCTGTGTGTACGTTGTTGCAAGAGGAAAGTGGCTGAAGGAAAACACACTTTCCCAGGAGCAAGTGGCACTTGGGGATAAACCTGGCTGTCGGAGGTTGGCTAAAGTCAAGTCAGGAAGGCAGAGGATGGGAAATGGTATCCAGCAAGTAGGTAAGAGGAAGCCAGTTGTCAAAGAGAATCCCATAATCAGCTAGGTATAGGGGACTGAATAAGTGGGCAGTTGTGGTAGCACTTTCCATGCATGACAAGAGGTCAAAAGCAACACTCTTAGCTTGGGGAGAAGGATTGCCAAGGACAATTCAGGCTGTAATCTGGGGAGGCTGGTGTATTAGTGGGTATCCAAGGCTTCCAGCAGGTACTCAGCGTAACAGAACGTTGAGTCAGAAATATGAAACTTATTACATAAGAAATAAGGGTAGGCATGAAGATTATATTCTAGTAGAAATATTCACCTTAGTAAATTTGGGAGAATGTATAGATCAGCTAGACTCTAAAAAAAGGAGAAACACTTAGGGATGGAGAAGAGAGAAAATAAGGAGATAAAAAGAACTATGGAAAATCCGCTTAACTTTAACTATACAAGTAAGGGTAGCCAAGAATATTATAGAAATCAAATCCAATAGAGTTGACAGTTTTGGTCATAGCTACCCTTCATAAAATTCATTTGGAATTGCCCTGGTAGTTAGACCACTCCATTATTGGCAATATTATGGCGAGTAAAACTGCATGCAGTTGAATAGCCACATATTGCGAGTGTAGACGCAGTGGTCTGCTTGGCTCCGCGTGGAAGAGGTGTGGGAGGTGTGGGGCAGAGGAGGCTACTCAGGACCACACAGGGGACATCAAGGGGAGGCCGATGGGTTATGGCCACAGGTTGACTAGAGCCTGTGATCTAGAAAGAGAAAGATAGTGCTGACCACCTGCCTCTCTTCTGACTCGGGGCAAAGTTAAGCATTAAATAATAGTGCAATCGCCACGTATCCAATGTGTTTCTTTTCCTCCACTCTCCTCATCTCTGCGGGAAGGCAATCAGGAATCTGAGACTGGTGATCACCCACTCTCCTATGCCCTGCCCTGTGTAGATTCAGGAAGCCTGCAGTTCTCCTTTGCTACCGCCTGTGTCGCACCCCCTCCCTATCCCAACTTCTTCCAGAAGAAGGTTCTTGGAGCTGACTGAGCTGGTAGAGGATTTGAACCCTGACATGGCGTGAACTAGCTGTGTGGCCTCAGGCATTGGCAACTTGAGCTTCATTTCCTCACCTGAAAACTGAGGATAAAAATCTGTTCTCCGTAGATGTCTCGTCTTAGAGATTTTAAATGAAACGGACATTTTATATTTTACAGAAAGCATTCATGTAAAGGTGACGGCACAGGAACTGGCACAAAGCAAGTGCCCAATCAGTCTGATATGTGAGTGGTCGTATGACCAGGGGTGTGAAGCTAGTGGGGCCTGTTCTCAGGGACAAGTGAAAAGCTTGGGGGTGAGACCTGGAAAGCAGGTGGTACTAATGCCCAGCTGAGCTGATGAAAAGCCATCCCCAGGTTTCCGACAAGGACTCCACTTCTCCCTGTGACTACAGAGCACGAGCTCAGTTCCAGTCTCAGGTTGAGCCTTCTCTGGGAGCACGGGCCCCTACTGTGAGGACAGAGGCCTGCTGGGCTTCCGAGAGCTGGCAGAGCCCAGCAAGCACCTTGGAAAGAGGAGGACTTGTGATGGTGCTGCACAGAGACAAAGAAAAGAAAAATGAAATGCAATTCGGGGGAGGAAAAGCCATTTTCTTCTTTGGTCTAGTTTGACACAGGGATAATTGTGGTGCAATTGTTATGCCCTTGAGTTTTTCTCGAGCCTGATACTTAGAACAGAATGCTAACACAGAGGCCAGCAATAATTACAGTAAGGTCACTCCATGGGTGAGGAATAGATAGCATTTTTGATTTCTTCCTCGAGGTGAATTTTCCAATTATATTATTTTCAGCTGGATGTTGTCACATTACAAAGCACTCCAAAACTTAGTGGCTTATACAATTTATTCATGATGTTTTCAGTTGGCTGGGCTTGGTCTGGTCATGCATTTGCTGCTTTCAGCTGAGGTCTCAGGGGAGGGTGGAGCACCCAAGATCATGACATCAGACATGTCTTCACTGACATGTCTGCTCTCTTAGCTGAGGTGGTGGCTGGACCACCTAAGGCGACGGCTGAGCTTCTGTCTTCAGTTGGGGGGTGTGACTTCTTACATGGTATCTCAGTTCACACGGAGAAAAAGTAGAAGATTCCAGGGTTTCTAAGGTCCAGGTTGGGAACTGGCACAGAGTCACTTCTCCCACATTCCATTGGTCATGCCCAGTCTCAAGGCCAGCCCGGCTTCAATGGGAGAGGAAATATCCTCTACCCCTTCCTGGGGCTCCCTCTGTGTGTACGGCAATGGGAGGGAGTTTTGCAGTCATATTTGCATACGATCAGCCAGATATATTTTCCATTACCTGCATGTATTTCTGAGTTAAAAAAAAAAAGGAAAAAAATATATGTTTAGACAATGAAGTATGATACATTGAAAAAGAACCAGAAGGAGTCAAAACACTTGGGATCCAATGATGTCTTTGACGCTCATTAGTTGAGTGGTCTTGTTAGGACAAATTCTTTAGCTTGGATTTTTTGTTCCATTTATCTCTAAAACAGAAATAGAAAAAGCTTGCTGTGTCTAGAGGGGCAGAATTCAGTAGTGGTGAGGGCCACAGGCTCTGGGCTTTCCAGGTTCAAATCCTACTTCTGACAATTCTCAGCTGCATGGATTTAGAAAAGTTATTTAACCAGTTTGTTTTTTGGGTTCCTCACCTATAAAATGGGGATGGTAAGAGGTACCTACCTCATAGATTTGTGGTAGAGATCGAATGAATTATACAAGAAAATGATTAGAATGGTACTGGCACACGGTAAGCTCTCAATGACCATTAGCTAGAATAAGTGATGCTATTATGCATAGAGTTGTTACTTAGCAGCATTCTGCCCCATGCTGGTCCCAGGGGACACTTCCCTGGGGATGAAAGGCTGCCTTCCTGCCCTGTGGGAGCTCCCAGTCTTCTTGGGGAGACAGAAGTGTCACATGAATACAGTAGAGGTGGAAACTGAGATGACTGTCAAATGGAGCAGTAGGGCCATACAGGACTGACCACACCAGGAGCCAGGTGGCTTTGCTGAGGAAGGTCCTCTGGAATGAGACCTGGAAGGACCAGCAGAAGTTGGCCCTGCAGACAAAGGTAGGGAAGGATGACATGGGCAGAGGTAACACGTGACCAATATCACTGAGACCTGACCAGAGCGAGGGCGTTTATGGGACAAGGAGAGATCTGGTGTGGTGGGTGATAGGAACAGGCCAAGATCAGAAGAGAAACAGCTGTGGGCCAGGTGTGGAGGCCATATTGTGTCATACCGAGCAGATTGATTTAGTTTCAAAGGCACAGCCAGATGAAATCAAAGCACTTTGATGACGTAAAACCGACACTTTTCAAACACAAGATGTTGTCTCATAAATTAGGGGACAGATTTATACATTTTTGTTCTCTTTTTAAATAAAGCTGTTCTCTGGTAGCCACATTTTATGGAAACGTGTTTCGATTATGTAGATGATTTAGATACTGCTTCTCTAGGTGTGCAACCATTTCTCATTGACTTTTTCAAGCTAGATGTTATGATTAGATTCTGTGAATAAGAAAAAAAATAATAATCCCCCATGTGAGATGGAGGCATAACCTGCATCCCATTGTGGTTTTTTTTTTTTTTTTGCAATACATTTTTAAAAGGTGATTTGGGGAAGGTTTCTCCAGAAAACTTATGGTTTGTTCTTGTCTGAGTTACCTGCCTATCTCCTAGAATAGACTGTGACAGGATCTGAGCTCCCACCAGTTAGGAACAATCCTCCCCCTGGGCATTCTAGCAATATCCCAGCATTACAGAAGGGACAGGCACGATAACAGGTGACTACAACTGTAACAGAGTGTCAGATCTGCTCTTGGAACTGGGTGCAGGGCACAGAGGGAGCTAATTCTGTGTGGATGTGGGGACAGTGGGGCAGGTTAGGCGCTTGTGCTCAGTATTAGTCTAAAGGCCACAAGGTCTTGGTCATTACCAAAAAGAGAAAAGTGTGTGTTACAGGTAATCCTCTGATAATGCTCTGAGGCCAGGACATCCCTTGGCTGTTCTAACATACAAAAGGAAAAGGCCCTTGTGATATCTTCCTATTGTTCTCCTTTAACTTCAGTGAAATTGGGAAAATGTTAGATTGAGGAATCTGATTATTAAGGAGGCAGGCCCTACAGCAGAAAGGACCCAGATTCATAGTCACGTTAAAACCCCACTCATTCACTTGAGAGCCACACGTGCCAGGGCAAACCCTTCAACCTCTGTGCCTTCAATTTCCTTTTATTGTAATGGGGCTAATAATCCCTTCTGCCTACAGTTGCTGGGGCTTTTCAGAGCATGATGGTGAAGGCCCTAGCGCAGTGCTTGGTACATAACTTGGAAAATAAAATGCAGCTGTTGTTATCAGTTAATAAAAAAATCTTACCACGGATTCAAGGAAAGCTGGTAGATGGAGCCAACAGAGGTGTTCTCAAGATGAAGGTGATCCAGAGGGGATGTTTAAAAAGGGTGATTTGCATAATTGAGACAAAAGGAGCCCACAGCATGGGTGAAGGGAAGCTGAGGTTGACCAGGAAGGATGTGGCTACACATTAAGTCTGAAGGTGACACAGGAGGATGGACACTGATGGGGATGGAGAGTGGGTGGCAGGAGTGGCTGGGACAGCAGGCTCAGGACCCAGCCTATGATTAGCAGG